AAAGTAAAAATTCAGGCTACAAAAACAAGTGAAAGTTAAGAAAAACTGCAAAGTAGCTCCAGATGATGGAAGTGCTCCAGACCACTAGGGGGAGACACCAATCATCAACTCATATGGGACCATATTCTTAGTAAAGACATAAACAGGAAGCTCAGAGATATTAGGGGAGTATTTAGACAAGAAATGTCTAATGCAAATAAAGCGCTCTTTATTTGCTTTTTACTAGGTCTGATTTTATTCAAATTGTACTTTTTTTGCTTGTAGTCTGTAATTCACGGCAAAGCCATGCTGTGTCTGGCATTCTTTGCTACCGTCAGTAACTGATATGGTAGGATAGAGAGCTGTTAATTTTATATTTTTTACTTAATGTGTCAGAAAGAAGCTGATGAAGATGCACCGCTCCCTGTAGCTGCATTGCTAAGCAGCAGGTAGCAGAACAAGTATCGCCGTTTCTCAATTCACAAGTGTCAATGATAGTTATCCTAACACAAGAATGCGACTACGGACTAGTTTCCTCGCCAAGTATGTTCTTGAGAACACAAGAAAGTCTGGACTTGGTGAGAACGGGAGCACGCAACAATATGGGTCAATTGGAACAGAAGCGTAATCATGACGTCACCACACGCTCGGCTCCTCTGAAGCTGCATTTCACCTCCTGTTATTAATAGCTTTTAGATTATAATAAATTCTGACTTTTCATTTAGTGGGGGAATAATAATTAACACAGTCAGATAAACACAAATCAAATGAAAATTTTGCCAAATGAAACAAAAAAATCGGCATCAGAGCCAGCGGTCCTTCACAAACAGCTATCCCGAGGGAGGGCTGCTGCAGAATGTCTGCGGTTAGCCCTGGCTGCCGTTACCCTCGGAAGTCCACTGGATGCTGCAGTCCTCTCAACTTCAGAAAAAATTTTTATTAAACAAATTAATTAAGCTGTCAATCTCAAGACAAGTCTGCTCTGATGCATACTCGGTAAATAGGGAGGGGCGAGAACAACATCTGGGGACTTTGTCCATCCATTCTAGGTCTGCTGTTCTTGTGAATTGGAACAGTACAGGGGCTGAGGTTGATGACGTTTCACGAGTACACGAGCACATGAGAACACATCGGTACGCAAAATGAGAAACGGCATGATTTTGATACTATGTTAATACTACGGTGTCCAAACAGACATGTGCTTTATGCATTTGGATCAGACCAAGAACAGTTTGCATTTATACTGAACCGCACCAGAGTTTGTTTAGAAGCTCACTCAGTGAGTCTCGATCCGGTTGCTTGCTCCAAACCAGAGTTTTGTTGGTGTTCATTTACACCTGTGCAAATTGTACAGAAGAAGAGTGAAAAAGATTTAGTTTAAAGTGGACCAAATGTGGCTGGTGTGAATAAACCCTCTGAATCTCCTCTAGATGGGCATCCTGTTAAAGTTCTGTTAAGGGTCGATCTATGTTCTGGTCCCATATGAGTTAATGATTGTCTCCCTCTAGAGGTCTGGAGCTCTTCCATTATGCAGAGATAGTTCATCGCTATTCTGAACTTGCATTTGTTTTGATACCCCATCATTTTTTTCTGTTGTGTGTTTTGTGTGCAGTATTTTACATTTGCAGCTCATTTATGTATTTGCAGCACCTTTGCAGCCCTTGGTGCAGAATTACTGCAACATTTAAAATATTTCATGGTAGAAGCGCTTTTCTATCTTTGTTTCACATGCTGACAGGTTTCTAATATTTTTTCAGATGTGTTTACATAACATGATTCCAACATGTGGCTGCACAATGGTGCAGTGGATAGTACTGCCGCATTGCAACAAGAAGGTTCTGGGTTCTATTTCCAGCCCCCTCTCTGTCTGCATGGACTTTGCATGTTCTTCTTGAGCATTACCTCGGTGTGCTACAGCTCCAGTACTCCGACATGTGCAGGGTGTACCCCGCCTCTCGCCCATAGACAGCTGTAAATAGGCGCCAGCACCCCTTGTGAGCCCACCAAGGGTAAGTGTGACGGAAAATGGATAGATGGATGTTTGTCAAGGAATATTTTTTTACATGTTTGTTTATGTTACACAGAATCACAAAACAACGTCCCCTTTTATTTTTCATCCTGGTCCTTTAAAGCAGCTAATAGCTTTTAGCATTATAGTATGAATAGAAAAAAACTATAATTATTTGAGAATAAATGCCTATTATATTTAAAAACCTAGAAATTTGATCACTAATAAGTCTTTTTTATAAATAATAAAAAAAAAATATTTTGAATGTATTTTAACACTTTGAAATACTCACTGGTTATATTTTGAAGCTGGAAAGCAAACCAGCATAAAACTATAGTAAATAAAGACTTTAAAGATGTTTACATCCAGGATTCACTTTTTGTTTTTTGTTTTTATTGTGGACACTGATTAAATGTTACACCAGACTAGCCACAGGGCTGATGGCCTTATCACCCACAACCTGCACACTGCACAGTGGGGAGAGAGGAGTCCTGCAGAGAGGATGTGCGTATGCAGATACATCACTTGTGGTCCATCTTTGGAACAAAGGATAAAGCGACTGCACAGTTATCAATATTCTAAATGTCTAGAGCTAAATCTTCAGATTTTTGTCCCTGGTGATTGTCATGGTTTAACTACTGAATCTGCAGAAAGGATGGATAGACAAAAACAGCAGAAAACCAGACCTAAAATTAACAAAAATCTCTTAAAAAGTGCATTTACATTTAATCTCAGTAGGAATATATGATGATCTGTTTTCTTGCTCTTAACCTAAGCTTGTTAGATGTTATGAATTTGAAATAAGATAATGGAGCTACCTTTGTTTACAATTACAGAGGTCAAGAGGTTAGCTGTGATTTTTCACCAGGTTTTTACACACTGAAGGAGGGATTTTGGCCCACTCCTCCACTCAGACCTTCTGTAGGTCAGTAAGGTTTCAGGGATGTTGCTGAGTTTGAACTCCCTCCAAAGATTCACTATTTGTAAAGGCTCAAAACAGTGGACCTAGAATTCAAGGAAAACAGAAAGCCAGATTTCTCAAAAGCGTCTATTAAAAACAAAGGATCTGCAGGGACGTTTAAGGCAGGAACCTCTGCAGAGGGAAAAATCAGGTTAGTGAGCATGTAAACCTGACGGTGGATGATTACGAACGCGTGAGTCTCGAACCTGGTCTTAAAGTTCATTCAGTGCACAGAGGAAGGAGTGGATTCCAGCCAAATGGCTGAAAACAGCATGCGGCGACAATGCCCGGAGAGTTCCAGACGCTGAAGCCTTGAAGACCTCAGAACTGGATGATCAACAGATCCAAACACATAAAGGAAGACAGGACTTCTCAGAAGGCGAAGCCAAAGCCGGTGTCAAAGACGTTCACAGGAGTCCAAGCCAGAAGATCAGAGATCTAAAGAGGTACCAAAGGGAAATCCAGGTTGAATTCTGGAATCAGAACCAGGTTCAGTCCACAGGCAGAATCCAGCAGGAGTCCGAAGAAAGGTCAGGCAAACGGATTAGAAAAGGAACAGGTAGGCTCAAAGGTCCAAAGGCAGAACGGGTCGGATGAGGAAATCAGAACACAAACAGGTATGCTAGAGAACTCTCACTAAAGGCCTGAATTATCTGGCACTGATGACTGGGAGCAAGCAGGTTAAATAGAGACTGGAGCAGGTGAATGATGAACGGTGAAGAGAAACTGGACAGAGCTAGACAGGTGAATGGAATGAACCATTAAGCCAGTCATCAGTGCCAAGATCATGACACTATTGGATTTACGTCTGAGGACTGGCTAGGCCACGCTTCTTCCAGAGCCTATTCTGGCTGTGTGCTTCGGGTTATTGTCATATTGGAAGACCCAGCCTTGACCCATCTTCAAAACTTTTAACTGAGGGAAGGAGGTTGTTCCCCAAAATACATGTCATCCTCTCCTTAATACAGTGCAGTCACCTTGTCCTATGTACAGAAAAACATGCCAAAAGCATGATGCAACCACCTCCTTGCTTCACTGTAGGGATGGTGTTCTTGGGTTGGTACTCATCATTAATCCAAACACGGTTAATGGAATTATGACCAAAAAGTTCTATTTTGGTCTCATCTGACTATGTGACTTTCTCCCATGACTCCTCTGGATAATCCTAATGGTCATTGGCAAACTTAAGACAGGCCTTGACATGTGCTGGTTTAAGTAGGAGAACCTTCCGTGCCATGCATTATTTAAGACCATGACGTCTTACTGTATTACCAACAATAACCATGGAAATGGTGGTCCCAGCTGCTATCAGGTCATTGACCAGCTCCTCCCTTATAGTTCTGGGCTGATTTCTCACTTTTCTTAGGATTATTGAGACTCCTCCAGGTGAGATCTTGCATGGAGCCCCAGTCAGAGGGAGACTGACAGTCATGTTTAGCTTCTTCCATTTTCTAATGGTTGCTCCCACAGTGGACATTTTCTCACCAAGCTGCTTGTCATTTTCCCCGTACCCCTTTCAGTCCTGTGGTCTACAATTTTGTCTCTAGTGTCTTTGGTCTTGGCCATGTTAGTAGTTGGATTCGTACTGAATGTATAGGGTGTACAGGTGTCTTTATGCAGCCAATGGCCTCAAACAGGTGTATCTAATTTAGGATAATTAATGAAGTGGAGGTGGACATTTTGAAGGCAGACTAACAGGACTTTGAGGGTCAGAATTTTAGCTGATAGACAGGTGCTCAAATACTTATTTGTAGCTGTATCATACAAATAAATAGTTAAAAAATCATATATTGTGATTTCTGGATTTATTTTCTGATTATGTCTCTCACAGATGCACCTATGATGACAATTTCAGACCCCTCCATGATTTCTAAGTGAGAGAACTTGCAAAACAGCAGGGTGTTCAAATAGTAATTTTCCTCACTGTATATATTTTTCCATTCTCTATATGGGTGCAGTGCTGTGATGGGAGCAGGATTCAGCAGCATCAGACCTCAATAATCGACAGACACACATGGATTTGTCTTTTTTTTCATTTATTAACAAAAGGTCTTTGATTATTGAATGGTATAAACAAGCCTTTCAAAAATATCTGAACATAGATACTGGTGATAAAATGTTTACATTGACTGCCTCCAAGTAAAGTAGTAAAGATTACATCTTGAATTCATTTACAAAACCTTTATCTTGATGTTTGCAACAGCTCTAACCAAATCTTGTGCAAAGTTTTGTTGAGTCATTTACTGCAGGTTAAAGATCATTCTTACTGATTATTATTTCATTTTAAGTTAATATATCATGCAATATTTATTGAAAGCTGATGGCTATAATCCTCTAAACAGAATAAATACTTCTATGAAGCCTTGCTCTTATTAAAACACGATTTACATCTCAGAATTAAAATACAGAATAGAAAACCCTGTAATTATGCGATAAAATAGGTAAAAGATAAGTGCAAAGTCAGAATCTGACTGCTTGAGGAAAAATCGCTGTAAAATCTCTTCAATACTTCAGAGGTAAAACATGTCGAGGTACGACGGTTCGTAACTGCATTACTACGGTTCGGACTGAAATACGTAAACATCCAGGAATGAGACAATTTTAGCCATATTCCAGTTCAGTGAGACAAACAGTGCAAAAACTGATCCAAAAATAAGTAAAAATATCTTAAGATAATTGTATATACCCTTAATTTGAGCAGATTAAGATGACCAGCCAACAGAATGAGAATTTCTGCTCTTAAAGTAGAATAATTACATAATAATATGACATTTTCTCCTAATAATGTTTTTTTTTATATTTCTTCAATTGTTTCATTTTGCCTGATAAAATCAAGGATTCACTTGTATTAAGAGAGAAAAGACTCACTTAGATTTGAATGTGAAATGTTACTCAAACGTAATAACAGTTCAAGAGATAAGACAGCGAAGGCACAGAGGAGAGGCACTCATCTTACGGTTTACTGCAGCGAGTATTTGGTGCGACACTGAATCAACACTGCTCCGTTTTTTATGTTGATCTTTATCGATTTTGATGAATAAATTCATCCCATCACCTTTTTGAAATCTCTCTTCTTTAAAAAGTCGTCCAATTGTTGGAAATACACAGATCTGTGCTCAAACAACTTTTCTGTTAAATCCACAGTTTATCTAAGGACTCCTATTTAGATAAGCTTTATTTACAAGACAACAACACTTATTTAAAGCATAAAGGCAAGAACATAAAAAAAAAGTTGCCTAATCAACTTAAAAAAACACTTATTACATGCAAGGTGGTATTCCTTCTGTTTTTGTGAAGTCCTCAACAGCCACTTTACAACAATTTATGCTTTATATACAGATAGTTACACATCAATACAGTACAAAGGAGGAATCTCCCATCATAATGAGAAAAATAAAAAAATAAATAGCTTCATACGGAAAGTAAAATGTTCTTCTGATTGGCTGTTTGTGTCATTCATTAGAAAATAGGACATTTTTGAAGCGATTTGTTAATACTTTGCATTAAGGTTGGAGTAGCGGCTGTGTGTGTGAGATTGAACAACCACAAACAAAACATAGCTGGTCATCACCCTGCAAAAATAGGGTTTTTCACAGGGTGAGGGGGTTGCACTGTCAGCTAGAGTCTATATACTTAATTAATCCGATTGATTGTTTCAGCCCCTCCCAGACCCTAAAAACGATCAGTTATAGAATATCTAAATAAAAAGGCTCTCTCTAGGAAGCCGTTTGTTTGTTAGAACTTCTGTTTTCTTTTTCTTTGATGTTCTGACAGGAAGCTCTGGGCAGATTTGACTATAACTTAAAGAGTTTTTGTAGATAGAAATAGATTGAATAGATCTGTCCCTTAAGTTTTACTTACATTTAAATACGAGCATTTGTGGAAATATGCTAAAGTGTTTGATGGCAGAAGCAATAGAACATGAACCAGCAGAACCTGCTGGGCTCCCAAACATTTCACGTTCACATCTTCCCTGGGCAGAATGATGCCTAGACACAGTGTAAAGCTAACGACCCTGACCTGAACACCATCAATCCTCCCCAGTTTGACCAAGATATGGACAAACCCAGTTTAACTCCGTTTCCCCTTCATTTTAATATGTTGGTGAATTCCCCAAATGTATGCTTATGACTAGGCTAAAGGTCGAAAACACATTCAGATGCTTCACCTTTTTGGAAATAACATAATTTACCAACCACAGCCAGTAAAGACTTAATTCAAGATGATAGAAGTCCTTTTGATAAAACTTTGAACTTTTGTATGGGCCCTGAATTGTTGCTCAGATTTAGAACAAATCCTTTAGTTTGCGGAGAAAAGGTAAGAAGTTATCTTTAGGTTTTTTGCAACAAAAAAAAATAATACCTAAACCTGTTGAGATAAAATCTGTAGGTAAGTCTCACTTCTTGGCCAATGCAGGAACATCCTTCTAACTGTCCTTCATCTTATCTAATAACTGCTTCAATCTCTACGTCAGTTTGTTTTAAATATGATAACATTTTCCATTGTATAGACCTACTTATAAGAATAATCCTACAGGTGGAACGATTATTTCAGTATTTACACATTTCTCCTGCGTAACACCAACCAAGATGGAGCTAACTCTGCCTCCTAACTCGACACCCAGCTGTGCGTGCTGTTCTTCACCCTCTGGGGAAACCCGTGAGGTCCTGCTGCCGGGTCAAAGTTAAAGTCCAGCCCGCCGCCGTCCATCAGGGTGTCGTGGAGCACCGACTCCAGGTCGCATTCCAGCCTCTCGATGGGCATGTTGTCCAAGTCGCTGGGCAGCCGCTCCTGATGATGGACGTGATGGTGAACTGAGCTCAGTTCCCTGTAGCTGCTGCCATAGGCAGCTGAAAAGTCATTGCTGTGAGGCGGACATCCCTGCCGAGGCTGCATACATGTCCTCATGCTGGTCAGGTGCTGAGGGACCCCCGAGAGACTAGTTAGTGGTATCATGTTACAGCTGTTCAAGTCTCTTGCGGGAGCAGCAGCATGGCTATGTACAGGCTGCAAGTTTACATGTAGACCTGTGTGCTTCTGATGCGGGGGGGTTATTTTAACACCAGGATGACCCTCTATGCGGTTGCGGCTGCTGTAGGCAGACATGAGACCAGTTGCGCCTCCAGTGTTGGACGCCCTTGTATCACTGGAAGGCACAGTGTCCCTATTGGTCCCTGCATCAGCCGTCAGCAGCTCTTTAAGGAGCCCGGCTGGACAGATGTACTGGTTCTCGTAAACGCCGAGCTTGTTCTCTGGAAGTGTCTGCATTGGAACCGGGGAGAGCGAGCTCAGCCTCGACTGGCCGTACATGGACTTACTGTAGTCCTGGCCCAGGCTAGAGGCGCCGTACGAGCTGCTCTGGAGCCTGCTTGCGTTTGAGGGATGTGGAGAGTCTGAGCCTAGCAGGGGGGCTTTGGGAGACAGCAGGTGGAGGTTATCCAGCAAACTCTCCATGACCCGCTCTGAGCCGTGGTGGCCCAAAGATCCGGACACCTCTGACAGGCTGGGAAGGGTGGAGGCCAACTTGGTCGCCGACGCTGCGGGGAACAACATGTGTCCCTCGGGCTCCGCCAGGTCGTCCGTCTCAGATGGGAACGGTGAACGGCGTCCGCTCAGAGTGCTGGCGTTGGAGCCGGTGCGCGTTCTGAAGGAGCTCCAAGCTTCGAAATCCTCGCTGTTGTGGGAGTTTGGGCTTCCCAGCCAGTTAGAATACTGGGGGCCAGGGCTGCTTCCTTCCCCTTCTGCAGCCTCCTGTAAGGTCACCTATGGACAGAAAAACACACGGAAAGCTCCTACAGCTGTCTAAAAGCAACCCAGGTGTTACAGACATGCTCTTCAGAGACGTGTCTACCTTCTTCTTTGTGGCTCTTCCTCTGCTCTTGGCAAACTTATTGTTGTTGTCCATGGAGACGGCTCTCCGTCGAGGCGACTTCCCGTTCTTTCCTCCCTCAGGGTTAAGCATCCACCAGGAGCTTTTCCCCGTCCCCTCGTTCTGTATGCGTACGAAGCGGCTGTGCAGGGACAGGTTGTGCCTGATGGAGTTCTAGTCAGAAAAAAAAATCCAACTTAGATAAGAGGTTTTAAGAGAAGCAACATGAGAAAAAAAAGCTTTGCTGAGATCAAATGAAGAGATTCAGTGAATTGATTTGCTTACAGAGGGGCATTGGATTACAACTATCGTTAAAACATTCAGGGATACAGGACACCTGTTTATAACATGCTCTTTTAAGCACTGGACTGGTTTAAATCCTATTTGATGTTTATGGGAATTTCTTTTTGTCAGTACACATGAGGTGGCCCCCAAGGGTCCATATTAGGGTCCCTCCGATTCAATATCTACATGTTCCCTCTAACTCAGCTCTAAAAACTATTACAAAAATGACCAACTATGCAGACGACGCCCAGCTATGAGCCGACTCCAGCTCTGGGTAAATGTGTAGAAGAAATCAACGCATTCAAACTTTCCTGCAGATGAATCTAGACAAAACTGAAATAATCATTTTGGAACAAAGGAAGACTGTTTCAGAGTTAGCACCCAGCATCAGTTAATCCAGCTAGAAAGCAGCAATTAGGCTCTGAATCTGGGTGTTGTGATGGACTCAGATCTGAACCTGCAGAGAATCATAAAAACAGGAACAAAAATGTCCTTCAATCACCTGAAGAAAAGCTTCAAAAAAAGCTACTAGAGAAAAATCTAGTGACTTCTGTGTGCATTTAGCAATTTCACATGAAAGCAGCAATCGTTCTACAGTTACTGTCTCTCTGTGCTGTGAGTTTCTCCATGCTACCTGACCGTGTCATAATAAGCACGGTGTCACAGGCACAGGTAGCTGCCTCATCCTGAAAGCCCCCCATGCAGTCAGAGCAAATAGGGAGGGCAGAGGAGAGACCTCCTGTTTTCCAACATAAGCAAAGCTGCTAATGATTCCACCCTGGATTAAATAGCAGGACATACAGTATATATAATGGAAATATAGTTTTTAATCTAGTCTTTAGACACTGCTGCACTGAAATATGACCTTGGATATCCTTGATTTATTTCATGTAAAAAAACAGATGTCCTTAAAAAGGGGAAACTTTTCCTTTGATCAAGAGGTATTGACCAAATTTATATTTACTATAGAAATATAGTGTTATATAGTATAGGATTAGGCTCATTTCACCGATACTCAATCTAGAATTTTCTTCAATATCAGAACGATACATATAATAATATCAATGTCAGATTAATGCTGTAGCTCTAGTCAAGTCCAAATATCTGCAGGTTCCACAAATTATGAAATAAAACAAATTTGTAGATTAGTTTGAGGAACCTGTTACATCTCTAACTCTTGAAATGATCAAATCAGCAATAATTTATCTAACACAAAAAGAAAAAAATCCTGAAAGTAAAGTCAGTTTTCTGTGCTTCTTTGATTAAATTCACATTTTAGTTTTTTGTCTTTGCTTTTTAGGATGTTGAGATCCCCAATGCGCTTTCAATTAGAAATCGAAAGTTCTCCACTGGTAGTAAAACTGTCATTTAACTTTTTTTATTTTTTTATTGATATATATATATTAAATAACTATATCCTGAGGGGAACAATGTTGATAAATATTATACATATTACCTAGGTGTTTTTCTGAATGAGTCTTTTAAAATGAATCAGATCCAAACTCCTCCCATAAGCCTGTCTGTTATCACTTTAAGCTGTATGCAGCCACTTGTTTTCATTTTTAAATGCACATCTGTAGAAGTGAAATCTAATTAGCAAAATACACAATATATATATATATATATATATATATATATATATATATATATATATATATATATATATATATATATATATTTCAATTAAGAATTCTATTAAGTCTATAAACAAAACACTGTCAGGATAGGCGCTTGGTGTAAATAACCTTATTCTATCAATAAACATAATGTGACTTAAGAAAACCCTTTATATAAAACTATTGTTCTTTTAAAACACACTTTGAGGTACTTTATAAACCCTAATCTCAGATCTCATTGTCATTTGCACAGACATATCCCATCGCTCACTTTAATCTGCTGCCTTGAAAGTAAAAAGGAAGTAATTTCAGGGCTGAAATATTCAAAACAATGGCTCGTTTTAATGACCAGATGCTGATGGCATCTCTTATGTGTAATATTTTGCACTAATTCAGACTATTTTGACTCGCATTTTGTTCTTTTTCAAAAACATTCAGAACTAAAGCCCACATGAAATAATTTCCTTTAAAGGTATGATCCCTACTGTAACCCAAACAATCCTCTTCCGCCAAAACTCCATCAGGAAGGAAAACAGCCCCAAGTTGATGGAGTGAGACGTTCTGGGTATTTTTTTGTTTTCTAGATAAAATATAGTCCTAATATGTAACCTGATATGAAGCTGTGGATGGTGGGAGTAATGAAAGACTAACATGCAACACAACATGCGCTAGCAGGGAATTTCCCCTAAATAACCATGTGAGCCTATAGTAAAGCCAGATGTCCTCAACCACAGAGTTCAACAGGGACGACAACCACTGGAGATAAAGGAACTCATAGTCAAAACCACTGCTGGATTTTCTGAAGCCATCTATAGGTTTTAGTAACATGAAAACCCTACATCTGCTGATTTCCCCTTTGATTTGAAATACATTTAAATATGCTTTTAGAAAATCTCTAAATTTTCTCTAAAAACAGTCAATCCAGTCAAATAGGAAGGTGTTCAACTTTAACCTTACATCCACATGAGGAGGATTAGGCACAATGGGAATTTTTACACAGTGAGGAGAGGTTGCAGAGTTCACAGAGAAGATGGGGAGGGTGAAAAAGTCTGCAGAGGAGTGGGGTCACTGAGTTCGCTGAACATGAGCTCCACGGCCACGACACATGCAAACAGGTTGCATGGAAAGGCGCAGAAAGGAGGAGAGCGGTCCTACGCGGCGCGTTAAGGCTTTGACCTGCTTTGTGACCGCCCCCGATGACCCCACCCCTTCTCTTCCACTGACTCCTTTCTCTTTTTTTTAAATAAGGCTTCCTGTGTCAGAGGACATCCTGCACACGGAGGCTGAACAAACTAAAGGTGGAGTTATCGCTTTCAGCACGGCTGCAAAATGCAGCGTTCACTCTGACATTTATTCATTCTATCGATGACCTTTTCTCCATTTTTCTCCCTTTTTCAGATGATCTCAACCTGTAACTGAAGACAGGAAATGAGTCATTATTGGAGAACATAGATCTCAGCAGTTTGCAGCGCAGGGCTCAGTCTGTACACCGGCTTTTTCTTTCCATCAACGTAAAAACATGCCTCCCGAAAGCAGAGCTGAGGTCTGTGGCCACAGCAGATCATCCGCCGCACCTCACAGGGACTTTCTCCTGCTGCCTTTGGAAGATCTTTGAATGATTTTACCTCGGCCCAATCAAAACAAAAGACATCCTGACTGCTCCACAGATTCAAGAGCATCACATCAAGAAAGCCTGACACCAGGTTTTCTTCTTTACAATCTTTACCATCCAAACAGCATTTTTTTTTACTCCAGTCCACCTAAAAAAAAATTTTTAAAGCCACAAACATTTCTAGAGTTTTCCAGGCCAAGATGTATGATGTATTTCCAAGGATCTGCTGTAACAGCTCCTCAAGTTTGGGGGTCACTGCCCCGAGTGCCCCAATGATCACAGGTACCACTGATGCGGGTACCCGGGTACCAATAGATTTAGTCCGCTGGCATGAACCTGAGTCACTGTGTTTATGTCACACGTGACTCCATTAGCTCCAAAATAGCTATATTATTATACTATTTAAAAGTTATTGAACAATTCTCCACATCCATCACAAAAATAACAGAATCTCAAAATACTATGGTAACGTTAACCTGCACGAATAGATATAAAAGTGTGTTAACATTTTTAGTTAGTGAAGATAAAGTCTCTCATGAGCGTACAAATCCGAAATGCGTTTCTGTGCCATATTTCCTCCTCGTTTCTGTCATTAGCCAATGTACTACGGTAGTCTGCTGACAATGTACAATGTACTAGTCTGCTGACGCGAGCGGGATCACACGCTCTAGATTGCTTGACGTTGCCACGACAACGTAACTTCCATGAACTTGTGTTGATTCGGCCTCGTAATAATTAAATTAAATCCAAATACACCTTATAGTAAAATAAAAAGACTCAAAATCATTTCACAAAATCTTCATAAGAAATGTGGCTAGTGGCTGCTGCAGTACCCCCAGCACCCCCCACTTCCAGCAGTCATGGGTGAGAGTGCAGAACAACTTAATTAGCAAAAACAAAAATGGAAAACCAGACACTGTGGGACAGCTGGAAGATGAAAGAGATACTTGTGAGCATGGATAAGGATTTTTATGTGAAACAAGAGTGTGGAAAAAGCGTGACCCATGTCAGCTTCTTGTCTCTTGAGCATGCCTTGGTGGAAGGGCTAGGCCTGGGCAGTTAATGTATTTACAACATAATCAGAATTTAATAAAGCACAATTTTCAAATCATACAAGCACTCAATTTAGGTAAAATTACAATTAAATAGAGTAAGAACCTGAATTTCTCACCCCAGCCTTTCAGGAGGCGATATATGCTTAAAGTGAGTTTAGTTGCCACTCAGAGGGGAAAAGAGACTTGAAGCTAGCATGCAAATCCAGCCATGCAAATAGAAGTTTTTCACACCAAGGTTACATTAACCCTTTATAAGGCAAGTTACACTTTTTGATCACTTGCATACCCCTTACATACCCCCTCTGTCCCTCAGTGAGGTCTAGAAGCACAAGATCTATATCCAGCCATTAAGCAAAGCTACTGCTACATGGCTGTACATCCTATTTTGGCATTTGACAATTAGATGAGCCCTTGAATGATATATTACCTACTGTAAATTAAGTTGAAAAAAAAAGTAACTTATTGAAAAGTTGAAAAGTAAAGATAAAAATTAAATAAGACTAGTTAACAATTATATGTAGGTTTATAAACTAAAAACTGTAAGTGCGAGTATCAGCATTAATGCCACCATGGTTATGAAGAAAAAATGTGTTTCTTTCACTCTTA